CACCGTTGCAGACGGTATCTAGTTCCACATTTCGTCATGTAATTGAGTCGTAAGTCTGGCAGTGTAAACGGTGGTCCTCAAGTGGAAGATAAGATAGAGGTTGATCAGGGTTGGAGGGGGGGGGGGTTGCTGGTGAGGGGGGATATATACGTACCGGATGTGAACATAGGGGTCTCTTGTAGGTGGCTTGGGGGTCTTGTAGGTGGCTTGGGGGTCTCTTGTAGGTGGCTTGGGGGTCTTGTAGGTGGCTTGGGGGTCTCTTGTAGGTGGCTTGGGGGTCTTGTAGGTGGCTTGGGGGTCTTGTAGGTGGCTTGGGGGTCTCTTGTAGGTGGCTTGGGGGTATCTTGTAGGTGGCTTGGGGGTCTTGTAGGTAGCTTGGGGGTCTTGTAGGTGCCTTGGGGGTCTCTTGTAGGTGGCTTGGGGGTGTCTTGTAGGTGGCTTGGGGGTCTCTTGTAGGTGGCTTGGGGGTCTCTTGTAGGTGGCTTGGGGGTGTCTTGTAGGTGTCTTGGGGTGGCTTGGGGGTGTCTTGTAGGTGGCGTGGGGGTGTCTTGTAGGTGGCTTGGGGTGTCTTGTAGGTGGCTTGGGGGTCTCTTGTAGGTGGCTTGGGGGTCTCTTGTAGGTGGCTTGGGGGGTCTTGTAGGTGGCTTGGGGGGTCTTTTGTAGGTGACTTGGGGGTCTTGTAGGTGGCTTGGGTGTCTCTTGTATGTGGCTTGGGGGTCTCTTGTAGGTGGCTTGGGGGGTCTTGTACGTGGCTTGGGTGTCTCTTGTACGTGGCTTAGGGGTCTCTTGTAGGTGGCTTGGGGGGTCTTGTACGTGGCTTGGGTGTCTCTTGTACGTGGCTTGGGGGTCTCTTGTCGGTGGCTTGGGGGTCTTGTATATGGCTTGTGTGTCTCTTGTACGTGGCTTGGGGGTGTCTTGTAGGTGGCTTGGGGTCTTTTGTAGGTGGCTTGGGGTTGTCTTGTAGGTGGCTTGGGGGTCTTGTAGGTGGCTTGGGGTGTCTTGTAGGTGGCTTGGGGGTCTTGTAGGTGGCTTGGGGGTCTTGTAGGTGGCTTGGGGGTCTTGTAGGTGGCTTGGGGGGTCTTGTAGGTAGCTTGGGGGTCTTGTAGGTAACTTGGGGGTCTTGTAGGTGGCTTGGGGGTCTTGTAGATGGCTTGAGGGTCTTGTAGGTGGCTTGCGGTCACTTGTAGGTGGTTTGGGGGTCTTGTAGGTGGCTTGGGGGTCTTGTAGGTGGCTTGGGGGTCTTGTAGGTGGCTTTGGGTCTTGTAGGTGGCTTGGAGGTCTTGTAGATGGCTTGGGGGTCTTGTAGGTGGCTTGGAGGTCTCTTGTTGGTGGCTTGGGGGTCTTGTAGGTGGCTTGGGGGTATCTTATAGGTGGCTTGGGGGGTCTTGTAGGGGGCTTGGGGATATGTTGTAGGTGGCTTGGGGGTATCTTGAAGGTGGCTTGGGGGTCTTGTAGGTGGCTTGGGGGTCTTGTAGGTGGCTTGGGGTCTCTTGTAGGTGGCTTGGGGATCTTGTAGGTGGCTTGGGGGTCTTGTAGGTGGCTTGGGGGGGCCTTGTAGATGATTTGGGGGTCTTGTAGGTGGCTTGGGGGTCTCTTGTAAGTGGCTTGGAGGGTCTTGTAGGTGGCTTAGGGTCTTGTAGGTGGCTTAGGGTCTTGTAGGTGGCTTGGGGGTCTTGCAGATGGTGTGGGGGTCTTGTAGGTGGCTTGGAGGGTCTTCTAGGTGGCTTGGGGGTCTTGTAGGTGGCTTGGGGGTCTTGTAGGTGGCTTGGGGGGTCTTGTATATGGTTTGGGGGTCTTGTAGGTGGCTTGGGGGTCTTGTAGATGGTTTGGGGGTCTTGTAGGTGACTTCGGGGTCTTGTAGATGGTTTGGGGGCCTTGTAGGTGGCTTGAGGGTGTCTTGCAGGTGGCTTGGGGGTCTTGTAGGTGGCTTGGGGGTCTTACAGGTGGCTTGGGGGTCTTGTAGGTGGCTTGGGGGGGTCTTGTAGGTGGCTTGAGGGGTCTTGTAGGTGGCTTGGGGTCTTGTAGGTGGCTTGGGGGTCTTGTAGATGGCTTGGGGGTCCTGTAGGTGGCTTGGGGGTCTTGTATGTGGCTTGGGGGCCTTGTAGGTGGCTTGGGGGTCTCTTGTAGATGGCTTGGGGGACTCTTGTAGGTGGCTTGGGGGTCTTGTAGGTGTCTTGGGGGTCTTGTAGATGGCTTGAGGGGTCTTGTAGATGGCTTGGGGTCTCTTGTAGGTGGCTTGGGGTCTTGTAGATGGCTTGGGGGTCTTGTAGGTGGCTTGGGGGTCTCTTGTGGGTGGCTTAGGGGTCTCTTGTAGATGGCTTGGGGGTCTCCTGTAGGTGGCTTGGGGGTCTTGTAGGTGGCTTGGGGGTCTTGTAGGTGCCTTGGGGGTGTCTTGTAGGTGGCTTGGGAGTCTTGTAGGTGCCTTGGGGGTGTCTTGTAGGTGCCTTGGGGGTGTCTTGTAGGTGGCTTGGGGGTCTCTTGTAGGTGTCAGAAATAACATCACATGAGACCAGGAGGCATGGGAGGATGTGCAGAATACCCCCGTTGAAGAGCAAAGGTGCAACAGTACTCTGAGAGAGAACTCTATCACCATCACAGGCCCGAGACTGTTCAACACGCTTCCACTACACATAAGGGACATAACTGGCCGACCCCTCACAGTGTTCAAGAGAGAACTATCAACATCAGAGGCCCGAGACTGTTCAACACGCTTCCACTACACATATGGGGCATAACTGGCCGACCCCTCACAGTGTTCAAGAGAGAACTATCAACATCAGAGGCCCGAGACTGTTCAACACGCTTCCACTACACATATGGGACATAACTGGCCGACCCCTCACAGTGTTCGAGAACTATCAACATCAGAGGCCCGAGACTGTTCAACACGCTTCCACTACACATAAGGGGCATAACTGGCCGACCCCTCACAGTGTTCAAGAGAGAACTATCAACATCAGAGGCCCGAGACTGTTCAATACGCTTCCACTACACATAAGGGACATAACTGGCCGACCCCTCACAGTGTTCAAGAGAGAACTATCAACATCAGAGGCCCGAGACTGTTCAATACGCTTCCACTACACATAAGGGACATAACTGGCCGACCCCTCACAGTGTTCAAGAGAGAACTTGACAAACACCTCCAAAGGATACCTGATCAACCAGGCTGTGACTCATACGTCAGGTTGCGAGCAGCCGCGTCCAACAGCCTGGTTGACCAGCCCAGCAACCAGGAGGCCTGGTCAAAGACTGGGCCGCAGCGACGTTGATCCTCGGAATAAGGTAATCCTCGGTAAGGTAACATCAGACTGTCTCTCCCACATCAGACTGTCTCTCCCACAACAGACTGTCTCTCCCACACCAGACTGTCTCTCCCACACCAGACTGTCTCTCCCACACCAGACTGTCTCTCCCACATCAGACTGTCTCTCCCACATCAGACTGTCTCTTCCACACCAGACTGTCTCTCCCACACCAGACTGTCTCTCCCACACCAGACTGTCTCTCCCACATCAGGCTGTCTCTCTCACGCCAGACTGTCTCTCCCACACCAGACTGTCTCTCCCACACCAGACTGTCTCTCCCACACCAGACTGTCTCTCCCACATCAGGCTGTCTCTCCAACATCAGACTGTCTCTCCCACATCAGACTGTCTCTCCCACATCAGACTGTCTCTCCCACACCAGGCTGTCTCTCCCACACCAGACTGTCTCTCCCACATCAGACTGTCTCTCCCACAACAGACTGTCTCTCCCACACCAGACTGTCTCTCCCACACCAGACTGTCTCTCCCACACCAGACTGTCTCTCCCACATCAGACTGTCTCTCCCACATCAGACTGTCTCTTCCACACCAGACTGTCTCTCCCACACCAGACTGTCTCTCCCACACCAGACTGTCTCTCCCACATCAGGCTGTCTCTCTCACGCCAGACTGTCTCTCCCACACCAGACTGTCTCTCCCACACCAGACTGTCTCTCCCACACCAGACTGTCTCTCCCACATCAGGCTGTCTCTCCAACATCAGACTGTCTCTCCCACATCAGACTGTCTCTCCCACATCAGACTGTCTCTCCCACACCAGGCTGTCTCTCCCACACCAGACTGTCTCTCCCACACCAGACTGTCTCTCCCACACCAGACTGTCTCTCCCACACCAGACTGTCTCTCCCACACCAGACTGTCTCTCCCACACCACCACACCAGACTGTCTCTCCCACACTAGACTGTCTCTCCCACACCAGACTGTCTCTCCCACACCAGACTGTCTCTCCCACACCAGACTGTCTCTCCCACACCAGACTGTCTCTCCCACACCAGACTGTCTCCCACATCAGACTGTCTCTCCCACACCAGACTGTCTCTCCCACACCAGGCTGTCTCTCCCACACCAGACTGTTTCTCCCACACCAGACTGTCTCTCCCACGCCAGACTGTCTCTCCCACACCAGGCTGTCTCTCCCACACCAGACTGTCTCTCCCACACCAGACTGTCTCTCCCACACCAGACTGTCTGTCCCACATCAGACTGTCTCTCCCACACCAGACTGTCTCTCCCACGCCAGACTGTCTCTCCCACACCAGACTGTCTCTCCCACACCAGACTGTCTCTCCCACACCAGACTGTCTCTCCCACACCAGACTGTCTCTCCCACACCAGGCTGCCTCTCCCACACCAGACTGTCTCTCCCACACCAGACTGTCTCTCCCACACCAGACTGTCTCTCCCACACCAGACTGTCTCTCCCACACCAGACTGTCTCTCCCACACCAGACTGTCTCTCCCACACCAGACTGTCTCTCCCACACCAGGCTGCCTCTCCCACACCAGACTGCCTCTCCCACACCAGACTGTCTCTCCCACACCAGACTGTCTCTCCCACACCAGACTGTCTCTCCCACACCAGACTGTCTCTCCCACACCAGACTGTCTCTCCCACACCAGACTGTCTCTCCCACACCAGACTGTCTCTCCCACACCAGACTGTCTCTCCCACACCAGACTGTCTCTCCCACACCAGACTGTCTCTCCCACACCAGACTGTCTCTCCCACACCAGACTGTCTCTCCCACACCAGACTGTCTCTCCCACACCAGACTGTCTCTCCCACACCAGACTGTCTCTCCCACACCAGACTGTCTCTCCCACACCAGACTGTCTCTCCCACACCAGACTGTCTCTCCCACACCAGACTGTCTCTCCCACGCCAGACTGTCTCTCCCACACCAGATTGTCTCTCCCACGCCAGACTGTCTCTCCCACACCAGACTCTCTCCCACACCAGACTGTCTCTCCCACACCAGACTGTCTCTCCCACACCAGACTGTCTCTCCCACACCAGGGAGTATTGACAGGATGACTGGCCCCGAAGGAGGAATGTTGTTAGTGAAGGTTGTGTAGTAGAGAACCACTTTATGTACGGGTTACGTAACGCTAAAAAGTGTCCCGTCCTCACCTCGGATTGCAAGCGACCTCCTCCAGGTTTCGGAGCTCGTAGACTCGCTTCGTGAATCTCACTTAGCGATGACGCTGGAAATTAACGTTTGACAGCGATGTTTGATAACGGTTTGATAACAGAGTGCTGTATGGAATGGATATGAGGACAGGGAGCTGGGATAGAACGTCGACCTGAAGGAAGCGAGGCTACTCGATGTAGCGACCAGTCTTAAGAGGGTGGTGATGGTGGTGGTGGGTGAGTAGCGGTGCAAGGGTGTCGAGGCGGCCCCCAGCGCGCCCCGGGGTCACTCTCGCCCCGGCAGAAGGAGCAAGGTGTCTCCCCCAGCCGGACACAAACCGGCTTTTGGGGCCCAAGGGCGTGGCGGTGTGGGTCCAGGCCACGCCCCTGTTCCTGCTACTCTCTCACACCCGTGACCTCTTGCTGGCGCCCACCTGGGTATTGGCACTTGTGGCCCCCGTGGTCCTGGCCACTCACACGCCTGGCCTGTAGTCAGTCACGGTGGTGCCCTCTCATATATATATATATATATATATATATATATATATATATATATATATATATATATATATATATATATATATATATATATGTTTAATAGGGTTAATCAACCATTTGTGGATTCCTTCTTGCATTAGACTGCAGGAACTTAGGGAGTAGAAGAACTCCCAGAACTCCTTCAAGCAGGTATCAAGCAGGTATCAACCCTTCAAGCAGGTATCAAGCAGGTATCAACCCTTCAAGCAGGTATCAAGCAGGTATCAACCCTTCAAGCAGGTATCAAGCAGGTATCAACCCTTCAAGCAGGTATCAACCCTTCAAGCAGGTATCAAGCAGGTATCAACCCTTCAAGCAGGTATCAACCCTTCAAGCAGGTATCAAGCAGGTATCAACCCTTCAAGCAGGTATCAACCCTTCAAGCAGGTATCAAGCAGGTATCAACCCTTCAAGCAGGTATCAAGCAGGTATCAACCCTTCAAGCAGGTATCAAGCAGGTATCAACCCTTCAAGCAGGTATCAACCCTCAAGCAGGTATCAAGCAGGTATCAACCCTTCAAGCAGGTATCAAGCAGGTATCAACCCTTCAAGCAGGTATCAAGCAGGTATCAACCCTTCAAGCAGGTATCAACCCTTCAAGCAGGTATCAACCCTTCAAGCAGGTATCAACCCTTCAAGCAGGTATCAAGCAGGTATCAACCCTTCAAGCAGGTATCAAGCAGGTATCAACCCTTCAAGCAGGTATCAAGCAGGTATCAACCCTTCAAGCAGGTATCAAGCAGGTATCAACCCTTCAAGCAGGTATCAAGCAGGTATCAAACCTTCAAGCAAGTATCAAGCAGGTATCAACCCTTCAAGCAGGTATCAAGCAGGTATCAACCCTTCAAGCAGGTATCAACCCTTAAAGCAGGTATCAAGCAGTTATCAACCCTTCAAGCAGGTATCAACCCTTCAAGCAGGTATCAAGCAGGTATCAACCCTTCAAGCAGGTATCAAGCAGTTATCAACCCTTCAAGCAGGTATCAAGCAGTTATCAACCCTTCAAGCAGGTATCAAGCAGGATATCGATAAAGTTGACGCCCTCGCTAAGATAACAGTCAATAAAGACAAATGTTGAAGGCAGTCTTGAGCTATCAAACACGTCTATTACAAGTGTCGGTAGACGAGAACTCTTGAATCTTATCTTGAGATTATCTTGAGATGATTTCGGGGCTTTTAGTGTCCCCGCGGCCCGGTCCTCGACCAGGCCTCCACCCCCAGGAAGCAGCCCGTGACAGCTGACTAACACCCAGGTACCTATTTTACTGCTAGGTAACAGTGAGTGGATGAATGTGAAGACAGCAGAACAGTGCATACAGGGACTAGCAGGTCCATTGTTCTTCACAATGAAATGTGTCAAGTAAAATATGTGTGTGTATGGGGGACACGTGACTACATCAGCAGACCAGCAGACCTTGTCACAGCGAGAATGAGACTTGACTTCAATAACAGCAGACGTTGTCACAGCGTGAATGAGACTTGACTTCAATAACAGCAGACCT